GTATTTTGGGAAGCGGGGCGTAACATCCTTTGAGCACGTTGGTATGAGCAAGAAGACCAATGTGGAGTTTGGCACTTCTATCCATCGATTGAGGGGTCTTTTAGGTGGTGTTCATTCAGGCATTTCGGGGCCTTACAATGAGGCATCATTGGGAGGTAATGGGTATTTGGTTTCCGCAGTTGGGGATTGTTCTAGGCATTGGTGGGTTGCAACCAGGTCCCGTTGGTGTGAAGTCCTAGAAGTCAATAATAATTGGAAGAAGTGTATTGGCAGAAAGGTAACCCGTCGTTCTAGCTTTGGTAGGGGTTCTTTCTTGCATTTGTGCCGAGCTCATGGCAGTTTGAGACACTTCATTGGTGTGGAGACATTGGGACGATGAGATGAGATGACAGTTTTGATGGGTCGTTCCTTACTGGAGGGGGATCGGCGTTGGTTGTCAAGTATTGATTTTGGTTTTAGAGCTTCGATATATTTGGGTCATCTTAGTCATAGGTTGTCGATTGCTATATTTGGAGTTATTGGATCTGGTGGAGCTGTTTCAAATTTTGGTTTACATCGGATATTTGGTTGCTCAGTATTTGGTCACATCGAGGATGTGAGATTTGATCCGGTTGCACGTTTGGGATTCAGAGGCTTATTTGATTATCAGTTGGGAGCTTCTGATTTTATTCTGAGCAGATATGTCACTTCTGACTCTCGACAGGTGGAGAGTGTTGATCAGGTCGTTGGGATATCGCAGCAGGTGGAGGGTGATGCTACTTCACGTTGGGTGGAGATTACTCCACATACTCCAGATCATACTGCATCGTTTGGGATTCCAGCTGAGGTGACACAGATTGTGGATCATTTGGATTTGGATGCAGATGATGAGTTGGTTTTAGATTCGAATACAGTTAGTGGACATGATTTGGATATAACCATTGGTTCACCTCAGATGGAGGTGTTTGATTTATTTTAATTTGGGGCCATTGGGAGCGCTATCGGTTGCAGATTCGTTGGTGATATTGATGAAGAGTTGCAAACTTTTCTATTTGATTGAGGGTCTTTGGAGGCCATTTGGGTGAACTACGTGAAGGCTTGATTCCTTAGGCAAAAGGATATGTAGGCAGTCATTTATGATGCAGCCGATTTGGTGAGTAGATACCGACGTTTGGAGAGTGATCGCATTTTCATTTGGGTCTTGACTTATTGTGGATGGAGTCCGTTGTCGTGATTTTGTTTCACTTTGTACTGAACGCAACAAGTGGGACATTTGGTTTGGTTGGTGTCGGCTCAGTTTTGAGAACACTTCGCCGAGGTGGAGAATTGAAGAAACCGCGAAGAAATTTGGTGAAGAACAAGTTTTGGAAGTGCAGGGGTCAGTTTGGGTGTTGTGCGGTCGACCGCAGTGCAAGGCCGGTAGACCGCCACGGTCGATCGCGAGACCCTGTAATGCTTTTCGGGTTCTGTCGTTTGATCGCGGTCAATCGCGAGCTTCGTGGCGGTCAACCGCCAGTAGGGTCAGACCCAGTTTTTGCTTTCTTGTTCTGTTTGGGTTTTGTGTTTGGTATAAATACCAAACACGAATTGGAGTTTCTTTGGCTTTTATTAAGGCTTGTGTTGGGGATATTTGGAGCACAGAAAAGATGTATTTTCTGAACTACTTGTTTAGGGTTTTGTTTGGAGAGATTAAGAGATTTGTGGTGAGATTATTTTGTTCCTTCGAGTGATTTGTAATCTTAGTTTGTACTCTTCTTCTGTATTAGTGAAAACTTCATCCCCTTCTTGCCCCGTGGATGTAGGCAACTTGCCGAATCACGTTAAAATCATTTGTTTGTGTTTGTGGCATTGATTTGGTTGGTTTGGCCTTTATCTCGACGTTTGTTTGTTTTGGTTCTTGAAACACATTGGTTTGATTATTTGTGGCTTCCGCATAGGCGCACTACAAGTGGTATTAGAGCATACCCCAACATCCTTCTCCACTCGGTGCAAGTCTAATCCAATCATCCTTACTTTACCTCCCTAGGGTTTCGAATTTAACTAATTTCTAGGGTTTTGGATCAATCTGGCTTTAATTTTGCTGCAGGAGGATGACGAGATGCTTGTCCCCCATTCCGAGCTCACTGATGGTTCTCGGCCGATGGAAGGTAATTCTCCATCTCGATCAAAAAGGTGATTTTTTATATTTTTTTTTCTTCCTTTGATTTTAAGTTGTTCCTCAGTGGCGCCTGTGGACACTGCGACCACGGCTGAGAGCCAGCAGCAGGAAGCGGAGGATGTGGAGTTTGGGCACGTTGACAAACTTTACGGGACTTGAAGTTCCGTGAATGTTTTTTTAACTATGAAACTTCACGGGACTTGAAATCCCGTGAAGTTTAGTAGCTTAATTAAATGGCTGCTAAACTTCACGGGACTTCAACTCCCGTGAAGTTTCATAGTTTTTTTCGTCTAAACCGATCCAGTTTCAGTCTGACGGTTAAAATTAGGTCGGTTTTGACGAATATTTTCAGAATAGGTCGATTTTTGCGAATATTTTTGTAAATAGGGCTGTTTTCAAAATTTGTCCTAATTATTATGTATAGAAAGAAACTATGGTTGCATCTTCAATTCTTCAATGAAAATGGTTAGAGTCAAAACTTGGGTGCCTCTTAGAACGTAATACTTGATCATTTTCACTTTTTTTTTTCAACTGTGCGTGATTAGCTCAACTGGTTTTATCACGCAAGTATCTGGATTATGACTGCTGTTTTCATAGACTTGTGTGTTGGTAGGTTTGTTTTTGTCTCCACTTTGAACCGATGACTGGGTCGAAGGAGTCAGCAACCTCTTCGGCCTTGAAGGCCCACACAAGGATTTAATGGCCCACTAGCATTGAGCACTGTAGATAATTATGCTACTTGCCTGTGTAGATAATCAATATTGAGTCACAGTTAATCACATCTTCCAACATGGCGAGTAACAACAATCAACAGAAGAAGATTATGTATTAACGGTAACGGTTCAGTGACGGTCCATATTGACTATCAACAAGGACTTTTAAAAGAAACAATAGCCAAGAAGTTACGATTGTTTGAAATAAATGATAACTCTTGACATTTCACAGGCTCAGAATTTTCTAGAAGAGACTTCTAATGAGAGCGGCCCATCAACTTCGGATAAAGCATCAAATTCCATGGAAATTATAAATTTCTGTCTTAAATCGGAAAGACCTCCAAGCCAAACTTTGGCGGACGTATCGACTGGGTAGAGCATCAAATTCCATGGAAATTTTGACGACCTCTAAATTTTCTCTTCTTGGTAATGTTTGATGTAATTGGCTGTGAGTGTATACCGTAAAGAATCTCACTTTTCTTACTACGACTGTTGACCATAGTTCGCAAGAAAAATCGAAGGGGGGAAAATCAAAGGGAGGAAAAATTAAAATCCATCCTCCTCGAGAGATGCTTGCTGGAAAAGTGAAAGTGAAAGAAGTGACGAAGAGAAGGAAAAGTCAAGGAGAAAATCAATCCACCTTGGACCCAATTTAATCTTAAGGTATGACCTTTCATCCTTCCTGTCAAAATAGATGAGTATGTTTAGGATGAGCAAGTTTGATTTTAGTGTTAGAGCAGAAATTTTGAAATAAGATTGTTGGTTAATTATATAAAAAAAAAAAGGAACCACCCTATCTCTCCGACGAAGGGCCTGGCGCGCGCGCGCCCGCTCAGGCATCGGCGTCGCTGTCGCTGTTTGGCTGCCCGTGGACGAGGAAAGACCGAGAATAGCCTCTGAGATTCAAACACTAAAGAGAAGAAAAAATGAGGAAAAAAATAAAAATGGAAGGCGAAATGATCAGCGTCCAAAGAGATTTAATAAAGGAAGGAAAATTTTACCTTACACCCCTGGCTTAGAGCACTTTAACGATAAGTCCAATTTGGAACAGAAAGAAGCTTTGCTTTCAAAAGGAAAACTTGAATATACATGAATAAGTGCTTGTAGACCCCTCCTACTTCCACAAATTGTGAACAGGCCCAACAAAGTAGAGCTTAGTTATAAGCAAGTCCTTCACATTTAAAAAAAAAATAGAAACGAAAGTAATTAGATTTGTACAAATCATTGGGTGTTTTAATTATCTTCAAGTTCATTAAGTCATTCTGCTAAAAAAGTGACCTATTTTCAATCAAATGCAATTTTTTGTTGCCACAGATTACTTGTTCATTGCTTCTAAAACATCGTGTGATTACTCTCCTTTGCTCATTTTCTTTAGTTTCTTGTATATTCTTTTAATTTATTCTAATTAACACGGGGGATTCAGATCCTTTTATGATGAAGTGAGCTATAACCGTATCACTCTCACTACAACAAAATACAACATTGTCGACGAAACAAAAACGTCGGCAAAAGTTTAAAAAACGTCAGGAAAAATCTTTCCCGACGCAAAATGCAGCGTCGTTAACGCGTCACTAAAAGTGCGTCAAGGAAAATATTTGGCGATGCAAACACACTGCATCGGTAAAAGTCAACACTTTTGGCGATGCTTCATGCGTCAAGAAAAGTATATCTTTTAGCGACGCATAGTATTTTGCGTCGGCAAAAGTATGCAGAATTTTTTCATATGCGAAAGTGCGTCGGCAAAACTTGTACTTTTAGCGACGCATGCAGTGTCGGCAAAAGCCAATGCGTCAGCAAAAATATAGTTTTTAGCGACGCAAAATTGTTCGTCGCTAAAAATTATATTTTTGGCGTAATTTTTGGCGACGCAAGTTAGCGTCGGCAAAAGTGTAGCTTTTAGCGACGCAGAATGAAGCGTCGCTAAAAACTATATCTTTGGCGACAAAAGATAGCGTCGCTAAAAGATATTATTTTTGGCGACGCAATATAACGTCGGCAAAAGTGTTACTTTTAGTGACGCTTTTTAGCCTACACTGAACCTGAACATTGAACCTGAACATCCATAAAAAAATTGCTCTCATTCACATCAACAAAGAAGCCAGACATCAAATTATACTCCAAACAAGTTGCATATTATGATAAACAAAGAATTTGCTCCCACTGCAAAATAGTTACATTCATTTCCATTTTTAAGCCAACACTCAAAGACTTGTTTACATATTCCAGTTTGCTTGTAATCTATGAAGGAAAAAAAGAAACACAATGGAAAGAGAGGAAAATGTGAAAGAAAAGAAAGAATGAAACAACTGTTTAAATATTCTTGTTTGATTGTAACCTCATGACAAGAAAGAAGGGAACAACAGGTTTTGTCAGTGCACTATCAGAACTTGCAAGCATCCATGGTATCACTAGCAGCGGTCATGTTACCTTGGCCGATATATGTCTAAGCATATGGATTCCCATGACGAGATGTGCTAGTGCCTTGTGCGTTTCTGATAATATCACTATAAACCATTCAAGAGATGAAGGCATAAATCAAGTATGAATCAAATAAGCTTCTGGAAGCAACTTACGAGAACATAGAACTAGGTTCTTGATTCCACGTATGGTACACCTGGAAAATTGTAAATGTTCACTGTGATAAGGTAAACGGAAAGCTAAAATTTTGATACAAATGCTAAGAATTATGAAGCAATAGTTATTACAAACAAAGCACTTACCTTGGATGTTGGAACTCTGAGGTAACCATTGTTGAGTAGTAGGCACCCCTGGAAATGGTATTGTCGTCCGTAGAGAGCTCATATCAAAAAACTACATAAAAAACAGTGAGGTTCAGGTATAAATAGGGAATTATTTAGAAGTAACAACTTCATATAACAGCATATTGCATTGTTGGTACGCTAAGAGGTGTACTTTGCATATGAAGGGCAATGTTCAATAATGGGAAAGTATTTATGACAACACTGACTTTTAATTGGACAGAAAGCTATTATTAATTGCAGAGACATGCTCATACATTTTTAACAGAAGCATAGAGTTCTCGTTGTTTCGCAAAAGCTCCTGTACAAAGAAAACACTCAGCTCATCATCATTGTCATCCGTGCCTTTTCTCATAGATATCATGTTCACTTGAAAGGAAGAGTTACCTAAGTTTTCATAACTAGTTTTCACAATGACAAAAAGGTAAGCACAATAACCATATTCATAAATCACAAAATAGATTGAATGGAAGAAATTGTATCAACCTTCCTTGTGGCCTAGTAGTAGTAGCCTTCGTAGCTTGATCCACAACAGAAGTGTCTTTTTGAGAATTTTCTTGCTCAGTATTTGTTTCTACAAGTTCTGCAGATACTGAAATCACATTATGGGCTTGATAAGTAAAAAAGGTCCTTGATTGATTTCATTTCACATACCTTTATTAGATGGATCAGCAACTTGCTGCAATTATAGAGAAGCACATTAAGTTATCAAACTCAAGTAAATAAATTGAATTTGGGTAGGAGAGAGAGAGAGAGATTACCACTTTCAGTCTTTTAAGAATGTTATCAAATTGAGAGGTATCAAAAACCCAATTATTAGTCTTAGCAACACCTACACCTGTAATTGCATTCAAGAACAGAGTTTTGTCCAAACGGTTATAACCGTTTGGACAAACTTTGCCCAAACGGTTAATCTGCCTTCATTTCATGCCACCAGATCATAGTTTATTCAAACTTTACACAGCTCAAATAAAGACATGTTTGAGACATAAAAAGAATATATACAAACTTTAATCCTAAAATGACCAAAAAAAATCTCAAACTGATGAAAATATCAGCATGAATGTTTCCCTTCCAGTGGAATTGTGGCTTAGTTATCTGATTCTTCAGGTGCATAGAAATAGAAGGCCATAACAAACTTGTAGTCTTTTTTATTATCAATAAATCACAGACTCTGACCATTCTTTAAAAAGATGACAAAAGAATCTTACAAACCTGCGTTCAAACCTCCTAATAATTGCTTCATCAAAATCAAACGGTCTGTTTGTTGCTGCCAGTGTTCTCCAACCCTAGTTCACTGTCCAAGCATGCTATCAACCTCATCAACAAAAATTGTAGTCGGAGATATCTTTGCAGCCAGTGTAAACAAAGCTCTTCCAGTGTAAACTTGCTGGGATGACCTCAGGTCTGATACGCTTCTCAAATTCATTGTCTGGAGCAACCTCCTACAATCAGACATAGAAAGGAATCAACAGTAGTAGCCATAGACATTGTAACAGCAGCAGTAGCAGTAACAACGACGACAAAAAGAAGAGAAGTAACTATAACCATGACAATGCTGATCAACAACAACAGCAGCAGCAGCAACAACAATAATAATAGTATGATGATAGTTCTAACGACATCCCAAATAGGTTGCAGATTGACATGTATTCTCCTATTAGCAACTTATGTGCATGTCACAGCCACATATGATTTATATCTGTCATATTTGACCCTCAGAAACTATCAGGCAAGAACAAAAAATATAGCTTTTCAATTGTTGCCAAAGACAAAAGATTGAGAACAAAGAAAAAACACATGAAAATAAATTAAATTTAGCCTTCCTTATTGTCGAAAAAACAGTACTTTGATGTTTAGGGAAAAGCCAGCGATATGATTATGATTCTTATATAGTTCGTATATAGTTGTTCAAAATATTGTAGACCACAATCAGCACATATACTATCAAATGCATGGATCATCATACATTTCTATCAACTTTTGGAAGGGTTCTAAGCTCAAGCGTATAGTTTAAGTCAAGTGTCAAGTATTAGTAAATTTGCATATAAAATATGCAAACCTGAGTAATGCTAATGTGAATTCTCTTTGGAAAAACAGAAAAAGGAAAGTTACAATTGCTTTTGGAGGTAAAGGTGAAGCGCTATCATCCGCCTTGGCTACTGGAGCTGGCTTTTCTGTTTCGCTTTTGTTTCCAGATACTGGAGCTTCAGGTTTTGCAACAGATGCTCCAGCAGCGGGAACAACTCCTTTCCCAGCCTCCTACAAAGATAAAAGGAAACCATGCTGGTATATAGATCTTTAAAATTGAACTGAATTTGGGTCAGTAGAAATGTAATTAACACACCTTTGATGTTTCAATGTTTACCTCCTTTTGACTACCGTTCTTGCTATTGGTTTAGATAAAAGGAAATGGCATCAAGTTATCATATATTTGAAACAGAGTCTTGTAACATGTATTTATTTCTAGTATTCTATCATACAAATTGCACAGTATATATAACTAATGATCCCAGAATAGCACTACATCAAATTATAAGAATTATATAACTACACCACGGCTAAATAGTTCATTGATGAAATTGTTGTAATACTCCAAACCCTTGGAATTTACTTCTCTTCCAACTGCACAAGCATTTTCCATAATTAGAAAAAATAACTCACAAATGATTCCAGTAAAAACAAGTAATGGTAACAATATTCTCAAGTGTTTATAGCTTATAAGCTATACGAGGAATCAATCTTGACCAAGAGATGGAAAACCTGTAGCCTTCGAGTCCAGTTTCTTTCATGAGTTTGACATCTTCCTACAAGATACTGAAAAGAATTTCTTAGTTATAGTTTGCGTATTGAAAATAGTCTCCAAGTTTTGCTGGATTTGAAAGCCCAATATAATTAATCTCTACGATGATTTTGCTCCAAAGCTAAGCTGCTATATTAGATTTTTACTATACCTAGAAAATAAAATCTTCCCCCTATTTTCTTTTCTTTAACTGCTAAATTTGTGAACTTCGAAGTGCAAACGTTGTAGGCATCTAAAAATGCCTATAGGTGTCCGTACACAGCTCGAGACGGAGAGAAGACAACGAACGTCGTTATCCAAGTCTAAGAGGATCATCTGTCGTCAACAAGCGCATGAAGCGAAACGACGAACCAACTGGCCCACGCGTGTCAATCAGCTCGCACGCGTCGGTCAACACGCGCGCGTCAATCAGCTCGCGCGCATCGGTCAACACACGCGCATCATTCAGCTCGCACGCGTCGGTCAACACATGCGCGTCATTTAGCTCGCACGCGTCAATCAGCTCGCGCGCGTCGGTCAACACATGCGCGTCATTTAGCTCGCACGCGTCGGTCAACACGCGCGCATCAATCAGTTTCTGCGCATCGATCAACACACGCACGTCAACCAACGCGCGTCGATCAACACACGTGCATCAATCAGTTCGTGCGTATCGATCAACACGCGCACATCAATCAGTTCGTGCGCATCGATCAACAAGACGATCAATTACGTAAAACGGTGGAGAATAAAAGTCCCGAAAAAACCGGAAAACGTCAAAAGACTCAGCGAAAACGCCACAAAACACCGCGTCCGCACGGGTCGGACCGCGTCGACCCGCGCCCGCGCGGGTCGGCCAAGCGCGACCGTGATGCTCGTACGCGGCCGTGGGTCAAGACCAAGCTGATCCGCGCCCGCGCGGTCGGCCATGTTCCGACCGCGTCGCAGCGGGTCGAACACCGAGGCTGACCCGGCGCCCGCCGCGAAAGGGTCGGATTCGCCCTGCGCGCATTTTCGACCTCCGGACGCGTTTTCGCTGTTTTCGATCAGTTTTTCTCGGGATTTGTTGGTTCCTGAGCATCCTAACTGATTTGATATTATCCCCAAACATAATTAATCAGTTATTAACTGAAAATAAGGAAGAATCATCCATTCTTATCCGAAAACTCCCCAACTGAAGCCTATAAATACAAGCCTAGGGTCTCTTTTCAGCGGGGGGATTAATTATCAAGAGGAGGAGGTGCTGTCGGATTGAGGAGTCAAAGTAGCACGAATTTCAGCGAGGGTTGACAGATCTTGGCAAGTTCTTCGGCATAAAGAAGGAGAGTTTGAGAGATCCGACACCCCTTCCCGTCCGTTCCTCGAGATTAGGCTTGGTCTTAATCTCGAGAAGAGCTACTGATTTCGCTTAGTCGATCTCAGCGCTTCAAATCAAATACTTCCTCGGTGAAGGCGAAGCTCTGCCGAATTTTCCATCAACCGGATTCAGATCAAAGGTGGTATACGGATAAACCCCGGCACAGGCAAAGATCCCACGCAAGCAGAAGACCGATAAACGATCTCTGTGTTTGTTTGACGAGAACTATATTTTTTTGTTTTCATTGTGTAAAAGTCTTATAAAAAGACTATCTTTTTGTTTTCATTGTAACGACCGAAATTGTAATGAATACCGCAATGAATACAATAATTTTCGACGCAAACAGCTGAATACGAGTTCGACCAACTGATGTTCGAAGAGTATCTGTCGTCCTCCTCCTCCAGATCCTCCGCCTCTCGCAAGCGAAGGAAGATTAATGCCCCCGTTGTTGCGGTAGCTAAACCTTACAACGCCCTTCCGGCCTCCAACGAGTCCGGATCTACAAATCTGAACTCCTCAATCAAGGAGTTGAGTACAGAAGGCGCGCCCACTTTATCGAAGAGAGCTCGCCAAAGGCAGCGCCAACGCCTTGCGCGCCAACTCGTTAGGGCTTTGGAGGCAATTGACGGGATCCGTTACGAGGCGGATCTGAAAATTAGGCAACGCCAAGTGTCCCAACAGCGGACAAATGCCCTCTCCTCCAAATCATCAACAAGTGAATGAGTACAAGTCAAAAGGACCCGTTCAACTCTTGAGGAGCGGATCAAAAAGCGCTGCGCACTGCTTGTGCACGCTCGAATTCTTGCACAAAAGGCCAAAAAGTTGCAGAGGGAAGAAGTGGGAAAGAAGCCACAAAAACTGCACAAAGTTTGGAGGCCAAAGTATAAGACGACGGCTGAAAAGATCGAAAAATGTGAGTCGCTCAAATCTGACCCGCCGGCGTGCGGATCACTCGAATCTGACCCGCCAATTCGCAGGTCACTTGAATCCGACCCGCTAATTCGTAGGTCACTCGAATCCGACCCGTCAATTCGCAGGTCACCCAGAGCCGACCCGCTAATTCGCAGGTTAGATCTGACCCGCCAATTCGTAGGTTACCCAGATCCGACCCGCCAATTCGCAGGTCACCCAAATCCGACCCTCCATGCCGCGGGTCACCCAGATCCGACCCTCCAAGCTACGGGTCACCCAGATCTGACCCTCCAAGCCACGGATCACTCAAATCTGACCCTCCACTTTGCGGGTCGCTCAAATCCGACCCTCCAACCCGCGGGTCGCCTAAGTCTGACCCGCGCCAGGGTCAAAACAGAAGATTTTCTGCACCTGTTTTGTCGATCCCTTCGAGTTCTGCACCTCTGGTGGAGCCCCGCGACAACATGGATTTGTCCCGATTCAAGGTGAGGATAGTCGATCGCCTGGGTCATTTGCACGAGGATCGAGGAAAAGTTCTGATCGAAGAACGCTTGGGTCCGGTGACTGAACCCCGAACTACTCGTCGAGCTGGGGGTCGTACATGCCCTCACAACAATTTCAAGCCTTTGTATAAAGGGAAAACTCTAGTTTCCACCCGCCTGGGGGTGTGTATTAAAGTCCAAGAGCCCGTCAAGAGTTCACGCTTACAAATGCGTGACTCTAAACGCGTGACTCTTGAGAACGCAAACAAAGAGTTACATACTCAGAAGAAAATGCGTAAGATAAATGAAATCGTTATACCTGAGGATTCATGTAAACAGCCGATAAGTTGCTCTGACGGCAACGTCGATGAGTTGTACTATCGGGCTGGGGGTACGAACAAGTCTCGGAAGAGAAGTACCCGAGAATCAGAGTCTCACTGCCCGTGCGCTAAGATTATCAGGCCAGTCTTATCAGCGTGTAGCTGCCCCAAGATCGCTCCGCAGAGGATCTCGGTATTTGAGAGGATCTCTAATGGAGCGACTAAGTCCAAGCCAATACGTTTCCGCAAGAAACGATCGGCCGTTCAAGGTGACAAACTTCCAGAAGTCACGATAAATATGGTTGATAAGGGAAAATCGACTCGATCTTCTAGTTCTGATCCGCTCATATCTCATCGTCTAACCCGGTTGCGATCGGGAACCATTAGACAAAGAGATTACCAACGAATGCAGAGGGGATTATCCTCTGATGATGAAGCATCAGATGCCAACTCTGTAGTCGCTTCTGACAAAACGGTATCCAGCCCAGGGGAATCCCGCGAGGTGTTTATGATTAACACCGAAGAAGTGGCCAAAATCATTGAGGATGCTCTAGCCAAGCAGAAGCAAGCATTCAAAATCGAAATGGAAATGGCTATGCAGGAGATGAGACAAATGCACGACCAACAGATCCGAGCTTTGTCGAATCAGCTAGGTGAATCCAATCGTCGTAACAATGTTAGCCAAGCAGCTAGCAACTCAGACGTAGATGAATACATCAATGTTGATGACCCTCCCGTTGACCAGAATGCTGGGGATGGTCCCACTAAAAACAACGACACTGGGGGTGGTCCCGTCAAAGATGGCAATGCTGGGGGTGGCCCCATTATTCCTCTTTGAAATCGTCCAAGGCCCGATACGAGCGAGGATGAGAAAATGAAAGATCTCGAGAGCAAAATCAACGCTCTAATGTCTGCTCGAGAGGTAAAAAGGACCGGCATTCCATGTCCCTATACAAGAGAGTGGGATTCAATAGCATACCCGACGAAGTTCAACCTGATTAACTTCATGTCGTTTGATGGAAAGGGTTCGCCCACTCAACATCTGATCTACTTCAAGTCCCACTTAGGTGTGATCTCCGGCAATGAAGCCTTGATGGTTCGGTCATTTGTTGACACCCTTTGCGGGCCCGCCTTCAATTGGTACCGCCGTCTCGAGTCTGGAGGCATCAACAGCTGGAATGACCTGAAGAACCTGTTTCGCGCTCACTTCTTTGATGACGATGCCGAAGTGTCAATCAGGACACTCTTTGATGAGAAGCAAGAAGACGACGAAACAGTCGACGACTTCGTCAAGCGCTTCCGGAATAAGGCGATGAACTGCCAAAATCCGATCACAGAGGACTTCATCCTCCAAACCTGTCACAACAACCTCTCTTTGGACGTGTTGGAAGTTATGGGAGTAGCACCGTCCAACAACTGGAAAGAGTTAAAGATGCGCGGAGAGCAGGCCGAACGCTTCCTCAGAAGGAAGAAAGCCGAAAGAAGCCAACTAACAGCTAACTTTCCGAAATCAAATTTCGCCTCCCGTGGTAAAGGAAAAACACCTGCAGCAGCTGTTGATGCTAATCAGACGTCGTAACAGCAACCCCGAAGACACCAGAAGACTTCGGGTTCAAGACTCCAAAAATAGTACTCCTTCAAGGATGAAGACGTTCCAGCCATCTTCGAATCCCTCCTTGAAAATAACAAGATCAAGCTACCACCTATCACAAATCAGGAGGAAGCTGACAATACTGCGGAACCAAAATACTGTGCGTACCACAGGAGGGTCCTTCATCCCACCAAGGATTG